GCCACATCACTATTCAAAATAATTAAATTCCATCAAACACACCTACACTCTAGTCTAGTCTGCTTCCCAACTAAACTAAACTAAAATATTTCGCACCGACCAATTCAAGTCTGTGCGAACCAGTCGGGTCAGTGTAATCAGATATTAGATCAAAGGGTTCCGCTCTTAAAGAGTTTCTACAATATTTCTTACTTACACTATACCAGCTATCATCCTCATAGTGCTGTGCGCTGAGTGTCGACCTTTTTTACGTGTGGACTGTGTAGCCAAACTGGGGCACAATAGTCAGCGGACGAGAAAAAAGGGCTAAAGCAGTAGAGCGGCAGAGTGGAAGACGATGCTCCCAGGTGGTACCGCAGAGCTTCTGTATAATGTTATTTCTTATACTCAACTTTTGGGCAGTTTTTTGTTAAATACTCTTTAAATGATTAACAGATTGACTTCTGTCTAGTGTTACCCCCAGGTCCTTAGTGTTTTGTTGTGGGAAAGTGTGGTATTTTCAAACCGTATGTTGAGATCCTTTCCAGCAAGCTTATTGTTCAGGTGAAAGCAACTAACTTCTGTTTTTGATGCATTTGGTTGAAGCCGCCACTTGCGAAAATATTTTGCTCAATATATATAAGTCTGCCGTCAGAACTTCTTCAGACGTTTCTAGTGTTCTGACATCGGGTAGTAAGGGCCCAGTCATCGGCGTATCCGAACTTTCTTGATTGTGTTTCCGGCATATCTGCTAAATATAAGTTAAATAGTAATGGTTTATTTTTTTTTTATTTTATGGTATTTCATTTATTAGTACTATCTAGTACTCTGTGTCTTTTTTTGTCTTCTAAACTTGTCTTCGTTGGCCCATGGGCTTCAGCATTTCCTCTGTCATCCGCATTGTTTCCCTTTTGTTTTTACTGCACTCAATCTTGTTTTGTGAACATCTTTAATATATTCTCTTCCTTCTTAAGTGTTTTTCAAAATCTTTTCTCCTTACTGGGCGTGTACTTTATTTTTTCTTCTAGTATGCTGGTTACCATACCAGTTCTGAAGAACTTATGAAGCATTCAATGAGGAAACGGACAAAACCAAAGGAGAAAGAATCCGGAACAAATGTGGGGAATAATTAAGAGGGATGGTAAAATCAGCCGAAAACGGTAGACAATAAATTAAAAACTAAAGTAAACATGGTTCGATGACGAATGTAGAGAGGAATTAGAGGAAAAAACTCCTTTGTTAACCAATTTTGTTAAACTTCTATTGTTGAGAGACCAAAATGGAAAAAGTCTAATGAATAAACAAAACTTTAAAACAGATGGAAGGAATATTTCGAACATTTCCTGAATGGCACAAGAAAATCTGGAAGTAAACTTAGATAACGAGGAAAAATATCGAAGTACACAGTCAAATCCAAACCATATCGACGAGCTAACCATGGTTTTTTATGTTTATTGTTAAACCAAATTGTTGCCCAGTATCACAAATTTTGTTTAGTAGCGTCTGCAGGTCTTTTTCACTTTCAGCAATAATGACTGCTTCGTCGGCATAACGAATTTTATTTATATTTTTACCATTTATCCTGATTCTTTCTGTTCAGTTTTCAAGTGCTTACGTAAATATCTCTTCGGAGAATATATTTTAAAAGTACATGGAGGAAGTACACAGCCTTGTCTCACACATTTTTGTCGAGTTCTCTTCGCTTTAGACATTCCATAAGAATGTTATGTCTAATATTGTGAAAAACTTTCTCATAGGTTATAAATACAACGAAAATATCTTTTTGTTGGTCTCGACATTTTTGAGTCTTGCAGCAAGAGTTGTGAAACTATACAGAGCTTCTACTGTTCCGACGCCATTACGAAAGCCAAACTGTCTATACAGGAGTAATAAAAAAGTAAAACAGAAAGACACTTTGTGATATTTTTATTTGGCTAATTATCGAACTAGCCTCGTATATAGAAAGTGCAGTAAGATAAAAGTGCAATAAGTCTTTGAGCTTATTATATAATGAGTCGTTTAGAAACATCGTTTAAATATATATTATATCTTTATGGTTGGTAATAAAAAAAATCAATAATCAATAATCAATTCAAATATGTTAAAAAGGTCGTTAGAGAAGAAGTACTGTTATATTTATTATGCCTAGATTCGATTTATTTATTATTGTCGTAATAAGCTGAGATATTAGAATGGCGACTTCAGAAAAAGTCTATAGAATGAATTATCTATAATTTTATTGCTTTTAATGGTGTACAAACTGAACGTAAGATTCAGTTAACAATGAATGATGGATATTATACTATGTTTGAAATTTTTTTTTAAAGATATTTGATACCATCCAAAATGAAATAATTTATGAGAAATAGTTATCACTGATGTCTATAATAGCACGTGGCACACCATTTGTGATGAAAGTAACACCTAACAAATCTTTTTGGTATACAGAATATGGTTTCATAACTGTTATATATATATTCTATAGATATATAAATATATATATATATACACTTTTATTGATAGATATTGTAATTCAAGGAAAGAAGGAAAGTCCTGAATTAGTCAGAGATGTTGATCATAAAGCAAAACTTTCTGGAAATTCATTTAACTTTAAAGAACTTATCTCAGCGGTTTAAGTTATGAAAAATAACAAAGCAAAGGGCTTAGATGACATCCGCACTGGTATGCGTGAAAAAGGAGTATAATAATGGCGTAAATATTGATTGTTGACGATATTAATACCAGAAAAGGAACCATGACTTTCGACAATACTCTCCATTGCTTTTTGTGTAGAACTTTAATAAGTTTTTATTTTTATAAGAATATTAAAAATTCAAATCATTTTTCATTAAAAAGCTTTGCAATTCAGCTTTCTTTGTTGATGTATTTTGCACATATTTGTTTTGCACTACGATTCTATAAGTTTGGGATCAGTGAGTTTGCAAACCAATCTTCAAAACTATCAGATTTCATATTCTTGTGGTAGCCAGCATTACAACCCCCTGCTACAACAACAATAATTAGCCGCGATCCATTATTTGTATGAATTTTGATATGCACACAGTTGAACCAACTGTCTATTCCTTCGTAACTGTATCGTGGGTATCATACCAAGTTTCGTCTAAATAGTAAATTCGTCTATTTTATATTTAGTAACTTCTTGCCTCATTCTTCTCTTTATTTCTTGTATGTAGGCTTTAAAGCCTGTTCATTTCACTCCTCTTTTCTGTTTTGTCACCCATCCATTTATGTCTTCTATATTGCATGCTCTTCTTATGTTTTCGTTGCTCTCCCTGGCCTTTGACAATATACGCCACAATCAACTCAAAGAAATCCTGGAAGGTAAGAACATCGACACCATACAAAGAAGCATACAAATAATATTAAATCTGTACTGGAATCAGCGAGCTAATATAAAAATAGAAGACCAAACATCGGACGAAATAGAAATACGTAGAGGAGTACGACAGGGTTGTATATTGTCACCGCTTTTGTTAATATCTACAGCGAACAAATATGCCAAGAAGCTCTCTCACATGCAAACGAAGGGATAATAGTCAATGGGGAGAGTTATCAATAACATTCGATAGCACAGTTCGTTAAGAGCACAGGTATTAGATAAGCACAGAATTTACTAAACGTAGTAAAAAAAAGAAGATTCTACAAAACAGTCAACAATCTTCCCAACTTGCACCATCCTTTGTTGTGACTTAGCTATCAAAGAATTCTCGTGAAATAACTTGTTATTTAGGAACTAACCATTTGCCGAAAGCGTACATTAACAAGGGGAATTGCTACTCCTACGACTGACATTAAAATGACAATACTAATTGTGTTAAAACTCTATCACAAAACTTATAGCAAAACATTAAACTTGTCTACCAGTCCATATTTCATATTTTTTTTCATATAATGCGAACAAAATTCATAAAACTATAAAGGAACATTTGATTTGGCATGCGCCCAGACGTAGTTACTAGACGTCAACCTGTAAAATATTACCGCACCTTCTGCTAAAGTTAATATTTATTATTTAATCAAACATATTTTGAGTTGACACAAACTAATCTGGTTTTTAATTTTACACGCCGATTCAAGGACTTTGAGTAAGTAGTAATTTTATGACAATTAGGTAAATTGTACTAGTTTTTATCTTTTAGTATATCGCAAAGAAAATATATCAGTTAATGGTTTATATTATGTATAAAATGGGCTTTAAAAAACCTAAGTCTGGCTTGGTATTTTTTGTCCATTCTTACTTGTTTGGGAGCTTTATTTTTCCTCTTTCTGATATTAATATTTTATCTTCTTCCATATACGACAACCATTTCTTTCCTTTTTTCTCTCAACACCTCTTTGTACAAAAGTTTGCTTTGTATAATGATCTGCTAATTTTTTTTTATACTTTCTAGCCATATATTATTTCCTTTTGCCTTTCGTATATTCTTCGTTGATTTTTCCTTTAAGAAATTTCTGATTTGTGTTCCGTTTTTCGTACATAACGTTCATACCTCGCATGCCTAAAATTATAGATGTCTATACTTGTATTTACTTTTTTTTATTTTGTGATACATCATGCTGGACCATGTATGTTTCGTTTTTCTTTACTCCTAAACGATATTAGAACCATTATCTATATAGGTACGCTAGATATTGATACTTTGGGTTCTTTATCTCTGAATATTACCCTTTTTACCTTACCAAATTAGGTAGACGGAGACCTTTCTGTCTCCGGCTTCTATATAACATGTAGCCTCTCCATTTTTAAAAATTTTAAAGTGTTTGCTTGTCTTTGTGTATTGTATTGTTATGTCCAAATTTACATGTATGACACTCTGCTCAAGTCGGATAGGCCACAACTGACGAAATGCCCCTGAGGATGATCTATTGATCGAAAGTACTTGGGCAAGATTTAATTAATTACTGTGTTCGATATTTGCCTTGTATACCATCAAAGTTCAATTATTCGAACATTCAACCTTATATTAATATTTTTTATTCATCCATGTTTTAATTTACAGGAAGATCAAAATAGAGGTAAACCGAACTGGGAGCACCTTTCAGATGAACTGCACGTCCTTCTCACAGTCGAAGACACAGAAAACAGGGCCCAAGTGAAGTTGCAAAGGGCCGTAGATGAAGTCAGAAAACTTTTGGTACCTGTAAGTATATAATAGTGTATCTATTTCTTGTTTTTTTAATCAGCGTTCAGATACAGGCCTTCCTATGATTTCTGATTATGTTGGTATCGTGATAGTTTCATCCATCTGGGATCAGCATATTTTTGGATCATTTCTCTACCTAATCTTCCTCTGTTTCATTTTATTAGCAGGGTTTTTAGTGTAGCACCTGTTCGTTCCATCTACTGTATCTTTTATTGGTGGTTTGTGTGACTTGCAAATTTCCATCTGCATGTCAGGTATACTTTTAACATTTCTAGTATCCTTTACAACAGTTTCGTAAATTGAGCAGCAGGTATTCTGCAATAAAGCAGAATAATATATTCTGCTAATATATTCTGCAGTAAAGCAGAAACAATAAAGCAGGAAGCAAGGTTTAGATATCTGGGAATAGTTATAACTAGTAACGGAGATGTTGAAGAAGTACGACAACAAAGCTTAAAAGCAAGTAAAGCGGCGGTATCTCTTAATGACATAATTTGGAAGAACAAACTTCTAAGACAAGACATAAAAACAAGAATCTATGAAGCAGCAATTAGACCTATATTAACATACACGGCGGAGACAAGACCTGACACATCTAAAAGGAGACGAATACTAGAAACAACAGAGATGAAAATACTTTGACGAATAGGGAAAAAGTCTGTTGGATAGGAAGAGAAGTGAAAACATAAGAAGAGCATGCAGTATGGAAGACATACATGAATGGGTGACAAAACAGAAACAGGATTGGATATGGGCACCAAATGGACGAAGAAGTATTGGCAGACCAAGAAAGAGATGGTGCGATAATTTAAACAATTTAGTAGGCTAATATTAAAGAATAAACAGGCTTTAAAGCCTGCACACAAGAAGGAAGAAAAATTAAATGAAAGAAGAAGAGCAGCAGGTATTCCTAATTTATTTTATCAAATTCTTGATATGAATCTCTAGATCTATGGCTTTGGTAATATTAATTCGCCGTGTGTTGAATCTCTGGTTCTATTCCGGTTCTATTAGTTTTAGAGCAGAGAGTAAGTATAGCAGCGTTTCTTTTTGGGAGGGAGAGAGAGAGTGAAGAGTTGCAATGCGCTACAGAGGGATAGATCGAACAACCTCAAGAGATCTTGTCTTGTCAGTACAGTACGCGTGGTCGGTATGCTTGGTCTATGTTAAAGAAAGAGCAAACACTCCTGACCATGGAGCTGCGTGAAGGCCGAGTCAAAATTCACGTAAAGGCAGAAAGATTCCATTGTAAGTGGAATTATGGTAACCAAACTAAAACGTTCTACCATTCACGTTGCATAGTACAGTGCGTTTCGCATATAAGTGGGGATTAAACCAAATTTCGTCTACTGCGCCGTGGTCAGAAGTGTTTGCACTATCTCTACATATCTTTACTGTTGTTTCAAATTTTAGGACAAAGTTGAACTCAAAATGATTATTATAATTTTACGGGCGTTAACTGTTATTTAAAAATATAAAGTATTTCATTTAAATTCGTGAACATCTGCTGTTTATAGTTGTATCAAATGATTAATTAACTTGTTTAACTGAAGTGTTTCTTGCGTATATTAGAAATTATAGAAATCATGGGAACGCTCTTATTAAATAATAAAATGTAGAGCTGTAACTACGGTCTCCTATTATCTATCAACCGTCTCTCTCTTACAGTGATCAACAATGCTATGAATTTCCAATAACAATAAATTAGTAACATCATTAACATACATTTCCATCGGCGTATTAACGCACAGAGACGGTTTTAGAAAAATGTGTTTTTGCAACAAAGAGTTTGCGAAATTCTTGAATCTAGTAATTTTATTCTGAATGTTTTACCTATCATTGATAAAATATATGTCTTCAGCAAACTCTAATTCTTCGAAATAAACAAGTAGAATAAAAACTTCTTTTTGTATTTTTTCTGTAAAAAGAAGATTCATTGATGCCTTTTAGCGCATAATATGCCGCCTTTTGTAAAATTAGTTGGGAAAAAGCGTATTAAAATTGAATTAATTTGTGAAGTTGGATGATGGAAGTTGGCATGAAAGGGGGGGTATGAATGGGTTTTCGGTAAAATTTGTTGAGATTAGTTTGTTTTATGATGACTGGAATTGGTATGAATGATTCAATCTCCATCGCGAACTGTAAACTAGAATACTACTCAGATGTTTTTGAAAATATACCAAATCTCCTTTTCGTGGAGCCAAATAACGAGTACATCGTCAACGTTTCGTAGTCAATATGTGGGTTTAAACAATGATCAGAATAGTGCTCGGATCTCGAAATTTTTCATGAAAATATCAACAATTACTGGAGAAAATAGAGAACCATGGTACAATGAATACAAGGTATGACATTGCCCATGACATTTAACAGTTGGTTCAGGAGTGTGACCATAAAATAGAATAGACCAGAGCAATAATGTCGAAAGGCTGTGGCAACAAATGGAAAAATCAATTACAGAGTCAGCAGAACTAATAATAGGAAAAAGAAGGACGAAAACAAAGAAATGGATAAAGAATGCCAAGAAAAAACTACAAGACAGACAGAAAAAAGCGTTACAAGAACATTATGCTTCAACAAGAAACAATATAAAGTAAAGAAAATTATACAACATCACGACGAGAAACAAGAAAACTAATTAGAGAGAAAAAAGAAAATACGAACAACAGCAGTATGAAGAAATGGAAAGAAATAGACAACAGTCAAATAGTCGAGCATTTTACAAATCTGTGTCAAACGAAAAGAGAGGATTCAGACCTAACTGCGTGTCTGTACTGAGGAAAAATAATGATGAATTAATAATCAACGAACAAGAATTACTCCAAACATGGCAAGAATATTTCAAAAATTTACTTAATATACACCAAGATGAAGAACATGGAGAGGATATATACCTTGGGGTGGACCTACCGGTAGAGTACCCAAAAATAGACGAAACATTGCAAGCAATTAACAAATTGAAGAACGCAAAAGCTCCAGGCTCTGACAATATACCAGCCGAATTTCTTAAGTACGGAGGAGAAACTTTACATAGACAATTACACAAACTAATAACACTTATATGGAACGAAGAGAAAATACCAACAAAATGGCACGAAAGTGTAATAATTCCTATCCATAAAAAGGGAGACAAAACCAAGTGCTCTAACTATAGAGGCATCTCCCTACTTAATACGGCGTACAAAATCTTATCGAACATCCTATTAAGTAGACTAACACCTTTTGTAGAAAATTTCATAGGGGAATACCAAGCCGGATTCAGAAAAAATAGATCGACCATAGATCAGATTTTTACTCTCAGGCAGCTGCTTGAAAAAGGATGGGAATTCAATAGAACCATTCATAATCTCTTCATAGATTTCCGACAAGCATACGACAGCATTAAAAGGGATCAGATGTGGAATGCAATGGCAGAACTTTCAGTTCCAAAAAAACTTATCCAGCTCGTTAAAGTTTGTGTAAATGGCTGTAGATCTAGAGTGCGGATAGGTAACAAGCTCTCAGAGTCGTTTGAAATAAACAGTGGACTGAAACAAGGAGACGCGCTGTCACCTCTTCTTTTTAATATAATCCTGGAAAAAGTAGTAAGAACCGCACAAATTAGAACAGAACTACTGACAGTAAATGGACCAAAATTACTACTAGCATACGCGGATGACATTGACATTGTAGGAAATACCGTCACCAATGTAAAAGAAACCTTCAATAAATTAGAGAGAGAGGCAAAAAATACCGGTCTAAGGGTCAATGAAGAGAAAACCAAATATATGTGCATTAACAGACAAAAGAGACGAGATAGAATAGGACAAAATGTAACAATAGACCCCTATAACTTTGAAAGAGTGGAGAGTTTTAAATATCTCGGAGCGACTATCACCACAGATAACGATATCACGGAAGAGATAAAAGGGAGAATTCAGGCAGCAAACAGATGTATGTATAGCCTCCACAACACTATTAAATCCAAGAGCCTAACACGAACATCAAAAATCAGGATATATAAAACAGTAATTAGACCGGTGCTCATGTATGGGTGTGAGACGTGGACGCTGACAAAAGCAATGGAAAGTAAACTCAGATGCTTTGAGAGAAAAATCCTCAGAAAGATCTTCGGTCCCTATCACGATCCGAATACTAACCAATACCGAATGAGAACAAATGCCGAGGTCAAACAAATGTATAGTGCTAGCGACGTAGTCCAAGAGATTAAATCCCAACGTCTAAGATGGGCTGGCCATGTTCATAGGCTCCCTAATAACCGCCTTACCAAGTTAATCTGGGAAGAAGTCCCGACAGGGAGAAGGCCCTTAGGACGTCCACGAATGCGATGGAGAGATAATATATGGTCAGATTTGAGAACAATGGGGCTACCCACTGACTTAAACATCATGGACGACCGTTCGAGATGGAAGCAGGTTGTGCAGTCAGCCAAGACCCACCCCGGGTTGTAGTGCTACCAGAAGAAGTTCAGGAGTGTGACGTAGTCACGAATGCTCGAAACCATTATTATAGCTTAACGTACATATTAATTTTGAAATTAAGTTCAAAAAATGATCGAAGATCAAATACGTGTTGAACATGAAATTGTTAATGAAAGATAAGTGGGCTTGCTGGATATTGCGTTTAATTTCTAGAATATTTAGGGTTCCGTCTATAAAAATATTTGTGAATAGTCAAATGATGAAATTTACTGGAATGTCTGAAAGTGAGATAAAATATTGTTTAAAAAGTTCAAAATGAAAGGAATTTTATTTATGGCCAAGTTATTTCGCCAATGACTCCACAGAATATGTAATTTTGCATCATAATTCACAATTTTGCTTTTACTATATAGGACATCATATTTTGGGGCATTCAAAGAATATATGATTTAGATCTGCATCTTTGTATTACTACAAAATAGTTAGATGAGTCTATAATTTCAATTTTCCATAAATGGTTAGAAAACCATTTTATTTATTTGCCGTACATATATTTTTCCATTGTTTTCCAGTTGT